CCTGCCATCAGCGCACGACTTGAGGAGACCATCATTGCACGTGTGCAGGAGCAGTTCCTGCGTATGACCTCCATGGGTACTTCATTTGCTGATGTTCGTCCTCCATCAGGTGCATTTTCAACCACAAATTGGTACTTGACTTATGTTTCTAAATCTTAGTCCTTATTGGAATTTACTATATTTGTAGGTCCAAGAGTTAGCACAAAGGACAGTTGTGCTGAAGCCACTATCGAGGTCACACCTGAGGTGGCATCTATTCATCCTGAATCCACAAAGGATGATCGATATGGCTTGTGGGTTGAGGTAGATGAAGGTTTAAGACTAGTGGCTCATGGATCAGTTCATGAAGGGGCTTCAACCATCCACAATGTGCCTTTGGATCCTAACTTGGTCAAAGTAGTGGTTGAAAAGGTGGTTCACGCTGAGGCTAGTGTCCCTATCCCCACTGAAGAGGTGCAGACAGTGGGCCAAGCCCTTCAGACCTTCATTACTTTGTCCCGACATTTAGTTAGGTCAATCATGGAAAATGTATGTATATGTATGGTTATAATACATCTAACACATAAATAAATTGATTTATTGTTTATGATTATATTTTATAAAATATGTAGGATGTTTAGCAGCCAATAGACTTGGGTAAAGATATTACCACTCCTTCTGGATCTAAGGAGAAGACACCAGTTGTGGGGACTTCTCCAAATCCAATTTTTGATCTCTTGTCTCTTTCCCCACAATTGTATATGCAGTCATTTCAAGTTCTATGGGATTCTACATTATTTGGGATGGCTTCTAGCAATATCCCCCTATACATTTCCCACACTGATGCCCTGGAGATTGGGATGGGCAATCAATGTCTAAATATAACTGTTTTACAATTTTGGACATTGTAAGTTCATATCTTTCATGACTCTTTTCATTTTAGTAAATATATAAGGTATAAGTTCACTTAAATTGACATATTTTAGGATGATGCATGAAATGATAGTGGAGCGAGGGCATTGGTCATGTGTATGGATTCTTCGAGCCTCAATCCATACAAAAGTCTGGGAATAAGCGTGATCAAATTCTCGGTTACATGCAGAATTGGATGACTGATTCTAAGAGAGATATTTACCTTGGAGCATACCATCATTCGTAAGTTATCCCAGCCTCTTCGGTTTTACACAAGTTTTTTAATAGATTCTAATCATGTGTATATACGAAACCACTCGGCAGCTATTAGTTATTTGTCCAAAGCGAGAATCTTGTGTGTTGGTTACTGCTCATTGGGAAGAAAACCTGACATGGAGCTAAAAAATATTGTAAACGAGTAAGTATTTCTTATATTATGTCTAAACATCTTGATTATTCTATTTCTAAGCCCCTTCTTTTCAATATATAGTGCTTTAAAGGTTTGCGGTACATTAGATGGAAAACACACAAGTAAAAGCACGACTCCAAATTGGAATTTTATCAAAGTAAGTAGCCTTTATATATATTATACTATGTATTTTATGTTCAAATTTAATAGTTATTTTTAACATATTTAGTCATTTTTAGTGTAACAAACAAAATGGAGGATACGAGTGCGGCTACTATGTAATGTATTGGATGTGACTCATCATTTTTGGTAGCATTCGGGATAGTTGGAATGAGGTAAGTTGACATTTGCTATTATATTCAATTCATTTATTTTTATTGCTTAGGGTTTACCATTCTATTTGTGAACTTCTTACAGGCATTTAAAGATATAGAACATTTTCCTATGGAAACTATAGACATGGTTAGAAACAAATGGGCAGAAAAGTTTGTCCAAGTAGTTAGGAATAGGATTGATTGACAATTTTTTGTGTATTTTGTACATAATTTGGGTGATTTTGACATATATATCTATCATTTTATATATATAGTAATATATAGTGATTAACTAAAATATATACAATGTCAATGACTGAGATTATAGCAGGTCGTATACTGTTGGTGACACTAAAAACAAAGCATTATTTAAAAAAAAAAGGGATATTCTATGTCGGTTAATGCAATAACCGACGTTGTAACGAATATACAACGTCGGTTATTGCATTAACCGACGCAGTATTTACCTCTCAACGTCGGTCATAGAACTAACCGACGTTGTATATATAACATTCAACGTCGGTTAGTTAAATAACCGACGTAGAAATTACTCATTTCTATGACGGACATTGGTTTAACCGACGTAGATATTTAGAGGATTCTACGTCGGGTTTTCTGAACCGACGTAGAATCCTTTGACATTCAACGACGCCTGATTCAACGACGTCATTAGAATCGACGTTGAAAGCCTTCTACACCCGACGTTGAATGATCATTCTGTAGTAGTGACACAGTCTACCACACACTTTTCACAGTGGTTGTGAGAGAGCAGCAAACCATGATGACCACTAAAAGAATAATTAGCAACTCTGAATGAACTGAAACAAAAACAACAACTAGAATTGAAAGAAAAAAGAAAACAACGAGACAACGAACTCTTAACTAACTGAGACAAAAATGACTGCCTAAGGGAGAGACCACTGCCAATCAACTCAAACAAATAGGGAAAATAAAAGGAGATGAACAAAAGCAAAAATGATTGCGAGAGCCAACTCTAAAGGCACTATCAAGACACTCACTATGAAAAGTAAGTGACTACACCACCACTGCAACCATTACACCAAATCATGCACTAGAACAATTATGAAAAACAAATAGAGAGTTCATTGTGAAGGAATATGATGAAAATGAAAACAAAAAGGAGAAATGACTTGAAACACACCTATGTTGTCAAACATATCGACAATATAAACATAAGAGAATACGATACACTTTATATGAAGAAATCTAAATGATAATGTGAAATAGAATCATCATTAGGATTTTTCTGAACACACCGTATTATAATAAGAAAGAAGACGAAAGAAGATGTATTTGTAAACGAAAAGAGAATATTCCACTTACATGTGAACTTATATATATTTTTTCATTCTTTTCGATAAATTGTTCTTGTTAAATCTTTATTTTTCATTCTTTTTTCCAATTAAGTCCATATCAATAATATTTTTATCACGACAGAGATGTCTATTAGAGGTTGGTCAAAATGGGGTATTCATCAAACATTTTTCATAATATATATAAATTTAATATTTCCATATATTTATGGGATGAGAACTAGGCATGGCGATGGACGTGGCGGGGTTGAGTTTTGTCTCTCCGACTTTTTAATCGTCCTTGTCCCCATTCCGGATCTCTGTCGAGACTAAAAATTAAGTTCTCATTTTTGTCCTAGTTGCGTTTCGGGTTTCCTCTCTCGCCCTTTCCTTGATTTTCATTATTTTTAAAAACATAATTATATTTATAATAAATTAATTTTACTATTTTATGTATTTTTTATACATAAATAAATATTTATAATTTGTAATTAAATATATTTATATTAAAATATGTATGTAAAAGAAACATTTAATTATTTTTTCCTTATACAAATGTAAAATACTTATAACATTATTATTATTATTATTATTATTATTATAATACTTGTAGTCAAATATTTGAATACTTATATTATTATTATTATTATTATTATTATTATTATTGTTATTATTATTATTATAATAGTATATTCAAACATTTGATTATATATATAAGTTAATTCCATTTTATGTTGTGATTTAAAAATATAAAATATATAGTTTATAAAAAATATTTAATAAGTTAGTTTTAATAAGTTAGTTTTTATTTAATTAGTTTAAAGTAATAAAAATTTAAATTATTAATTTTTTAATTATTTAAAATACAATTATTTTACTAAGATAAAATTTGATATGTGACAAATAAAAATAATAAGATTGAAAAAAATATGACATAATAAAATGTAATAAAGATAACTTATAAATGAAATAATATTAGTTATTATTAATATTTTTTAAAAATATTTTGAAAAAGAGGTAAAGAATAAGAAAAATTAACTTTGTGTTGATCAAAATGATTGAAAATATTGAAAAAAATAAGTTAATTGGAGAGATTAAGGAAACATGGAAAAAATGAAATGTAAGAGAAAGAAAATAATATAAAGAATTAATTGATATAAAAGATTAAAAAAGATAAAAGAATTAAAAAGTGGGTAGAAGAAAAATAATAATAGTAAAATATAAAAAATTGTCTTATATGTAATAGAAAAATAAAAGAAAATAAATTTAAAATATTAATATTTTAAAATTTAAATTTAAATATTAAGGTGGGATAGAGATGAAACCGAGAGGTAGATTACATTATCCATCCCGACTTTATCCCGACTTTTTTAAATAGAAAAAACGAAAATTCATCTCTGCTGATGATCAATTCGATTTTTTCTTCATCAAATTTAGAACGGAAACGAATACACCAATACAACTTTAATTGGCTTCCTAAAGAGAATTAAACTATGAGAGTTTAATATTTAAATGTAAGAGTGTAATATATATACTTCTTTGCATACTTTCCTTCTCCTTAACAGTTTCATTTATCTGTTTTTATTCCTCTATTGCCTAAAATTTCTTCAACTATTTTATATTGTTAATATGTTTAAGAGTTAAGTTTTTTAAATGTTATTAAATCTGAAACTAATTAAAATGTATTTTTTTAATCGATACTATATATCCACTAGGAGGGTGTAATTAAAGTAGACTAATGTTAATGATGTAATTGGTGACAATTTTGATTTAATTTTTTTCTTTTAAACAAAATTTAGAGTGATTTTCCAATAAAACCATGCTTGTGTACAAGACATTGGATAAGTTGTTGCACTAGTCAGCTATATAGTTCTTTTTCATGTCAAAATATTTTGTTAGTAGTCAAGAGTGTGACTCTTCTAGAAGATTATTTTTTGGATAAGGCCCTCATAAGGAATACAGAATGACCCAAATAAGAAACAGAAGCCCGGCCCAGGAACATTGAGATGAAATTATCGATTAATGTGAACCACATGTGAGGGGCATAATGGGGATGACAATGGAAAAATCTTAATGTTACCAGCTGCTGTGGAAATGAGACCCACTCGGTATTACTTCAGGGTTCCCTCACGGAACGGAACAAAAGGCGCACACAATCGCCATAGAGAAAAGAACCCTCCACCAAACAAAAAAAGCCCTAGAAAAGATTTTGAAGAACCAATTTCTCACTCCACAAAATCTCAACCTCTTCTTTTATTTTTTGTTTTGGATAAAACGTTTGCTCGTACTGAATTTTGTTTTCTCTTGTTTTGCTTTCTTTTCGACATTTTTTCTGCTTCGGTGTTTTCAGGAAGAAAGGGACACGAGTAATACAGGAGAGTGCATTCCTTTCGGTTCTTCGGTTAAGGACACTAATCTTCGATGCCTCTGTGTTTTTTCTTCTCTTTTCTCAAATTAGGGTTTTCGTGAGCGTGCCTCTTTATCGATTATCTACAAACTATCATCGTTCTGAGTAATTTTCTGTTCCCTTTCTTTTTCTTGATAATCTGATATATGAATAATTTTTCATTTCAATGTTATAGATTATTATTTGAAATTGCTTGGTTCCCCTGGATCTTGCCATTAGCAATTTGAGGTTCAGTTTTTATAACAAATAATTTGAATGTATTAGGTTTTTTACCACCACTCTGTTAAGTTTACGGTGATTTTAAGGTGAACCCTGTGGTTGTTTAAATTGATTGTTGTTTGTTGTTGTGAATGTAATTGCTTTAACCAGGCTGAGGAAGGTGATTTGTGTTTGGGCAAAATGTCGCCAAAATATCAGATTCTGGATAATCGCCCAATTCATCAGTGGAAGGTTACCGAGCTGAAAGATGAGCTGAAGAGAAGGAAGTTAAGCACCAAAGGTTTGAAGGATGATTTGGTCAAGCGTTTGGATGAATGCCTTCGTCTTGAAAGGGAGGCTGAGGAGGCTTCTGAGAAGGAGGAGGAGGCCAATGGTTTTGATGGTCATGTAGATGGGAAAAAAGATTCAGAGGCTGTTACTGTGGATGCTGTAGTTGTTGATGCAACTAACAAGGCGAGCACCAAAACATTTGAGACTGCTGGTATGGGGAAGAGTGATGTAGTTCAACCGATTGAAACAGAAAATGTGGAAAAGGTTCCAGAGGTTGTTGTTCAAGAAAGCAGTAAGAATGACAAGCAGGGTGGTGTTACTGGCCAACTTGACATTAATAATAATGTGCCAGATATGGATCAAGAGGTTGAACATAAGGGCTTGCCCGCAGCTGGTGGAGATTCTGGAAATGAGGGAGAGGAGTCAATTACTTATGCTTCTACTGTAGCGACCACCATTACAGTCACTGAAAGTGTAGTAACAGAAGTGGTAGCCAGTGGTGAGGTTTCATATTGTGTAGAAAAGAATAATGAGGATTCTGCAGCAAAGCTGGATAATGAGGAGTCAAAGGCGCAGCTGGATGGTGAGGACACAAAGCCCCTACTGGATTCTGACACAAAGCCCTTGCACGAGGATCTTGTGCCCGACTCTTCTGTTCCAGAAAACCAGGTATCTGAGGTCAACCCTAGTTTAGGGTCTCAAGTAAAATCTGATTCTATTTCTACTGATTCTGTGTCAATTAATCAAAAGAATGAACTAAAGGATACTATAATTACTGATAATGTCAAATTAGAACAAGATATTGTTAAGCCGGAGATGGTGGAAGAACCATCATCCAGAAATGATGTACCTGTTTCTTATGATGAATCACATTCAATGGATGTTGGAGGGCTGCATGAGAAAAAGGCATCTGTTGAAGAAAATATCAATAATGTTTCAAGTCCGGACTTGAACAAGACCAATAGCAGTGATGATGTTGGGTATCCAGAAAAATTGAATCTAGACAGAAGTTCTGGTGATGATTCTATGGAAGAGGATTTACCTGAGACTAAGCAAATTGATTCTATGTTTAATGTCGATGAACTTAGAGAGAAAGTGGAGAGTATTGAAGAGCCTATTGTGAAGGAGGAAAGTAGTACTATAGCTGTGGGGGATGGTCTATCTGCAGGAAAAATTGATGCCCACCAAGATATTGACATCAGTCCTGTTGCCCCAACTGAGAAACGAAAATTCCTTGGTAAGCACCATATTTGTTCGAAATGGGCATTTTTTTTAAAATTGTTACACTATTGAAGGGAAAGCAGGAATCATAAGCACTATATCTTGCATTGCTGTTATTAGTTTCTTCATGTATTTTTAATCATCCTCTATTATTTGGAAAATTTTGTTCCAGAACAATCATTGGTTGGGAACAATGAGCCGTCAAAAAGGCAACGCAGGTGGAGCACTGAAGCAGTTAAAGGTCTAGATCCACAAAGCACTACTCCCAGGCCTGCTACTACACCTAGAGATGAGCCAATTGCTCTGAAACGCAATCTCTCTAGGTCTGATTCCTCTGCTACTGATGACACACCTAAAGAACGCATTGGTAAGTCAACATTTTTCTGATTGGGGTAAATCTATGAAAAACTGTTGCTCCTATTTGTGGTGTAGTAATTGTATTAATAGGGATAAATTTGCAAGTACTAGCTTGTAGCTTAAAAAAAGTGCTTATGTTGTGGTTTATATTTGAAAGTGGAAAATTATCTGTTGGTTGATTTTAAATACACTGATGCATTTAATGAGAAAAGGCTTGGTTATTGATTTGTGCTGTGCTTTTATGTGGGTGTATTTGTCTATGTTATATAGCATATTGAATTTTATGGATTACTTTCTCGTCATACTGGCATATGTTGTATTTTTTGTTTGTTTTTAAAGTTAAATGGTCATTTTAATCTTTGGCAGTTCCACCATCACAAAGGTCCCCAACTAATTCCCTCAGGATTGATCGTTTCCTCCGTCCATTTACCCTAAAAGCAGTGCAAGAACTTCTTGGTAAGACTGGGAATGTCCGCAGTTTCTGGATGGACCAAATAAAGACCCATTGCTATGTTACTGTAAGAATTTTTATTTCTGTCTTTTCTTCATCTGTAAATTTTTTATATGATGTTATCATATATTGTATTCATATCATGGTTTGAAGTAATGTTTTGTTGATTTCTTGGTGATATAGTACTCGTCTGTTGAAGAAGCCATTGAGACACGGAAATCTGTGTATAATTTGCAATGGCCACCAAATGGTGGACGTCTCTTAGTTGCCGAGTATGTTGATCCTGAAGAAGTGTTAATGAAGTTAGAACCTCCTCCTGCTCAGGTTGCTCCAGTAGTTCCTCCTGTGCCCCCCGCATCACAGCCAGAACCTTCCCCTCGGCTGCACAGGGAGCAGCATTCAGTTCCAACTACACTCCCACCTCCCCCACCATTGTCAAAACCCCCACCAGTAGTAAGAGAACGGCTTCCATCTCCACCACCCCTTCCAGAGAAAGTTGACCCACCTATTGTCACTTTGGATGATCTCTTCCGCAAAACCACGGCAACTCCTCGGATCTACTACTTGCCTTTGTCTGAAGAGCAAGTTGCTGCAAAACTTGCTGCACAGGGTAAAAGCATGAGGCAGTAGGCCATTAGCCTTCAATTCTTCCCTGGCAGCTTTTACTGATTTGTTTAATTTTCTTCAACGTGCTAGTTAGTTGTATGAATTTATTGTGGATGCGGCAGATCTGTGGTGTTTTGTCTCGGGAAGAAATTGTTGCTAGTGCATCTTGAGACTTAAATTTATTTAGTTTTAGGACGTCGTGAACTAAGAGCTACAGGGGTTTGATAGAGTTTCCCCACTGTTTGAACTAGGCAAGCGAACCGTTACCTGAAATATCTTCAACTTTTATGGAAAATTTGACGTTAATTTTCTCTTATCCTAGCCGTTTATTTTGCTCACGGTACCTGGCCTCTTCTTGATCCGCGTATTTTCTTTGCGAATGTCAATCTATCTTTACCTGTTGAGTGGGCATGCATCAGGTCTCGCAACGTAGGAAGGTTTATCACCTAATTTATGGGTTGACTGCTAATTTATCTATTGTGTGAGGATAGTGTACTTTTTTTTTTTAATTAAAATCACTCCATTTATGCCTTAATGTTTATTTTGCTCTTAGTTCTTATACTTGATTGAGAGAACTATCAGATCATGAAGTATTGTAACTATTAAAGGCTAGTTCTTAAATGTTTTGCGAAATCAGAAGTTATATATGGTGTGAGCATAAGATAATTCAGGTCTGGAACCTAACATGGGGCCACCTCAAATCGCAGTCTACTATCTCCGCCTGAACTTTTCAGGATTGTTAAAATTTATCAGTTTTCCCATAACGTAAATGTGCCTAAGGACGTTGTTGTATAGAGTATGCAATTTAAATTTGTGATCAAATACAACACAGACGTTGCTCAACACCCATAACGTAGATTATAATTGTAAGCTGATATATTATTTTCCTCAAGCTTATGGAGAGTTATTGGCCAGTGGCTCCCTGGATATTCTCGTACAGGAAAAACTACAGAAAATAGTTTGACCAAAAGTGAATATAAGTAATAATTATTTATTTATTATTGACAAGTTAGTTTTAATTTATAGAAAAAAATATTTTATAATATATTTTTTATTTTTCAAAAAATTTTAGACAAAATTATTTAATCAGATCCTAAGTCAAGTTAAATGTGTGCAGGGATTTCTGAGCACATAGAATGATAGATAATACTATTAGTGATATGATCATGATTAGAATTGTGCATCATTTGGTGACGAGGTCTTCTGTTGTTTCTTTAGAATGAATATGAAAATTGAACAATTTACTCAACAACAATAAAGGAAAGGTATTTGAAAAGTGAAAATGTTAGTAGTAGGGAGTATCCTATTAGTATAGTATGACTCATCCAGCTTGCGGCGTTGAAACAAATATTATGGTTTGCCCCAAATAGGCAACCCCAAAATCGAGCAACGTATCCTCCCTTTCCATTTTTCCCTCTTTTTTATTTGCAATTTTTTAAACCTTTATAGGGTTTTCGAAATCCAAGACACCACGCACCCATCCTTCACTAATTCCCCCTCCGAACGTCTCTCTCCTTCCGCTTCTCTATCTCTGTTAATTTTTCTTCTTCTCTATACAAGATCTCTCTCTGAATTCTGATTTGCCCAAAACGTGGTCGTTTTAATTGGTCTCGATTCCCAGCAGTGTTCCCGCTGCTATCCCTGCTCAAATTCATCTTCTTTTCTATACTTCGCTTTCGCTTCTTGTTCGGGTTTTCAAAAGAGCTTTTTCTTTTCACATGTTTTAGCGAGTTGGGCACTAGTATTGGTATTGAAGCTCCTTTCGGTTCCGATTCTGTTTTAGGGTTGTACGGTTCAATTGAGATGGTCTATTCCTAGTTTTTCACAGTGGCATAGGTTTTACTTGAATTGTTTCTGGTGAGGGAGCAGGATTGAAGAACATGAATAGCGTTTTCAAAGAGCAGATACTTGCAGACAAGCTCTCCAAGCTTAATAACTCCCAACAATGCATCTTAAGTATCCTCTTTTTTATTTTTTATTTCATTTTATTAATGTATTTTATTCTTTATTTGACCCTAACCTTTAGCAATTTTTGTTCTGTTTGAATATTGGATCTTGGGCTATACTTGATTCTTTTAGTTTGGTTGCTGAATGAATGTTGGTCGCCTAACTATTTGCATTGTTTAGCTGAATCCAGTATGTGTGTTGGAAGTTTGCTTACTCTGAAAGTATAAGCAATTATTTTCTTTCACTCATTTATTATTGCTTTCTTTCTTTCTTACACACATCAGTACAAAATTCAATTTTGGAATCTTAGGTGTTTGATGTAGCCATGTTGCTTACTTGCTTTTAGTATGTTAATTCAGCAATTTTGACGTAAGTAGCATTGCTGGAAGTTTTAATGGATGGAGTCAGCTAATAATCTTACGCCTAAGTTGCATAACAATTACATTTCTAATCTTGTCTTATCATAAGATTATGGGGTTATGATCTTTATTATGTTTGAATGACTTGAAATTCTCATAGACAAACATTTTTTTAGCACAAATATTATAGGCTTGTAATATTCTTCTAGGATAGGGGCACTGCAGGAAGAGAATCAGATACATTTTTCAAACAAAACTTTGGACTAATTGTTGTTATCAGGTCAAAGTCTTGGTGCATTGAAACTTTGTTGTCGGTAACGTTTCATTCTTAAGATTGATGTGAAATTGCTTGGTTAATGTAACATTGAGTGGGACTTATTTTAACTAGTATTTAGACATGAATTTATTTAATTCTTCAGAATAGTTTATGGCATACTTAGCTTCAGTTAATATCATGAAACTTGAATTTGTTTGTTGTATTATGTGTACAATGACATTATTTTATCCATTTAGCTGACCCTACCAAGTGGAAAAGGCTTCTGTTGTCTTTGATGTTTGTATTATGCTAAGTGAGCTGTTGTCTTTAACTTTCGATATAGCTTTATCACATTGGTGTATATTTCACCGGAGCAAAGCAGAACTGGTTGTTGCCACATGGAAAAAACAATTTGACAAATCAGAGATGGCTCAAGCGGTGCCACTTCTAAATCTTGCAAATGACATCCTGCAGAACAGTAAGCATAACGGGAATGAATTTGTGATAGAGTTTTGGAAGGTTCTTCCTGCAGCACTTAAAGATGTTATGAAGAAAGGTGATGACCATGGAAAGTATGTGGTATCTAGATTGGTAAGCCCTTTTTTCTTATTTGATGCAGTATTTCAAGTGTATACAACAATGTCAATTAAAAAATGGAAAAGGATGTGTGAAAGAATTAAATATAACATGATTGCAGATAGTTCTACCTGCATGGGCTGAAACATTAGATATGGCATATAAATGCTGATCATATGATTTGCATACCATGATATTGATTTATTAACTTGGTGCTTACCTTACTTTAGTTTGATATATGGGAGGAAAGGAAAGTATTTGGATCTCGAGCTAGGAACCTTAAAGATCTGATGCTTGGAGAAGATGCACCTCCACCATTGGTATTTGGCAAAAAGCGATCACGTTCTGTAAAAATTGTGAAAAGAGATTCTCATTCCATCCAATTGGTGAGACAGAGTTCTGAGGGGCCTTTGTGACTACACTCCTTCCTTTCCCCATGCTATATTTAAATCATTTAATTGATGCTAAATAATTACTTCCGTGATGACGATTTCCTATGGTTCTTTTATATCTCACTTCCATGATATTGTGTTGATGCCAGAGACTGTCCATAGGAGGTGCTGCAGAAAAAATAGTGTCTGCATTTCATTTGGTAATTGGTGAACAATCCGTTGAAAATGCAGAGATGATTAAATGCAAGTCTGCTGTTCAGTGTGTGAAGAAGATGAAAAAGGATGTTGATACTGTGTGCACCGATGGTAAGCATACAGCAGAACAGAAGTAACACCTGAATTATGGAAGTTGGGATTCTAATATTACTTTCTTTGTCAGCCAAAGATCCTAAGAGAAATACTTTGGCAATGAAACTAGAGGAGGAGGAAAATCTTTTGAAACAATGCATAGCGAAACTTAAATTGGTTGAAGCAACTAGAGTATCTCTTGTGTCTCAGTTAAGAGAAGTGTTACGTGAGCAGGTAAGGTATACAATTGCGCCCAATATTTTCTGTATTTGTACTGTACTTATTGAGCTTCTGGTTGTTCCTAACTGCGTCCTTCAATTCTTTGTGGATATTTATATTAGGAATCTGAACTAGAGAATGTTCGTACACAAATGCAGGTATATACTATTGATTATTTTTTCCACGGTAGGATGTCATATTTTGACTAGTTTTTATCATGTGATTGTGATATATTTTGGTCATTTATCTAGGTTTGTTGCCATTTAATCACATCTCTAGTGGTACATCTCATCATATATTTCTTATAGGAAGTAATTTGACATTTGGAGAAGTTATTGCAGTGCTAATAGTGTTGGCAGTTTTAAAATAGTAATAGAAGAAATTACACTGATTTTGCCTCCCCTGGAGTTTATGAAACCTACATGAACACCTCCCCTATAGTTTATTTTCAAGGATTAGTTGTGTCTGGGAGAAGTTTAAATAGGAGAGGATGCTTTACCTGATGAAATTTTAAACGGGAAGATCAGTGTAGGGTGAGTGCTTGCTGTAGTTTCATAAATCTTGAGGGAAGTTAGTATAATAATCGCTATTTATAAAGAAAAAACAGTTTTGGTTGGAGAAGGAGAATTTACTTTGTAAAAGCACTGTCATTAAATTCTAGAGAAAATAAGTTATTATTAATTATTTATGTACTTGGTTATTTTTAATATTTTAATGCTACTTATTACTTGTTGAGTTTGCTTTCATTATTGGCATTTGCATATACTTGCGGGCTTTTAGCTAACCTCAATGACAAATTTTGAGCTTTTTGCTTATATGTTTGTTTAATGATATTTAGGTTGCACAAGCACAAGTAGAAGAGGCTTGCAACATGCGGAAGCTTCTTGATAATGAGGATTCTTCTCAGAAGGCATCCACTGCAACAACTTCAGCTACTGAGTTAAATACGATGTCAGAAGCAGCAATTAAAAAGTCAGCTGCAGTAATTGCTGCTGAGGTTGCAGATAAGCTTGCAGCTTCTTCGTCATCGCAATTGATCATGACTTCGGTTCTCTCAACATTTGCAGCAGAAGAGGCTAAGAGTGCCAGTCTAACATCCGAGCCCACATCAAAACAAGAGATTTCAATGCCTACGTCCGAACACCACCATGTATTTATGTCCCCACAACAGTTGATTACCACGCCAAACCATTCATATCCCTCAGTTTTAGTAGCACAACCTTCATCACAAAGCCAATATCACATGCTTGCAAATCCTTCATCCCAGCAATATGTGCAGTCAACAGGAGGGATAATCTCTCCATATGGTTATGGTTGCATCCCACCATTACCTCCCCCACCCTCAGCTCATGTGGGGGCAATGGTGCCTTTGTCTCATCAAACCCTGCAAATAAATCCGCATCCACAAATACCGGTAACACAGCAAGCCCCAGCACCTCCTCGTTTCCCGCCACTTCCACCTCCAGGAATGGGGTACTACACTAATAATCAGCATTCGATTTAAGACCTACAGTAAGTCTAATGTAGTTTGCACATTAACTTTATTTGAAACGCGAGAATTCTGGAATTTGGAATTTTATTGTGCCAGTCCTAGTTTAGACTGGAGCTTGCAAATGTTGGAAGCAAGACTATGAAATTCCTGGCACGTGAAAGGAAACTACTAACCTTCCCTAGATTCTAAACGAGTTAAAAATTCACTGTGCTAACATAGATATCCTTATATTGTCCCATTAAAGATTGGTCATAAAAACCATTCAAGCTTTTATTTTTTATTTAGTATCTATTTTATATAAATATTCATTTTAATAATGCAAAAAAAAAAAAGTTCTTTAATGTTGAAAACTAGCCAATCGAATTGTTGGGTTGGTTCGAATTGAAAAAGAAATTGAGAAATAAAATAATTACAATTTGTTTTAGATTTGAAATAAAAAGAATAAATTAATTGACTGACATGAACCAATATAATTCATTTGGTTTAAATTTTCTTATTCGTCCGATAAATTTGTTCATAACTTTTATTTGTATTATCAGTATAAGTTATCATCGTAGTCATAACATGACGGAGGTCGCAACTAGTGGACTAGCTGGCCATACGCTGGAGAGTCGAGAGAAAAAAAGTACTTGCGCTATTTTATAAATGGGATGAAGTTCCTAGGCCAAATAGGAACTTTTCTGTGCATATATAACACCGTTCAAAGTAAAGATTCTGTTTCATACTGAATCTGATCGGTATCCACTTTGTGAACTCATTGCGAAGAGGCCATTATACACCGTTGAGGTGCCACTAAGAGGAAGGAATAATTGTTGGAAATGTTGAAAAAAAAACAAGAACAAAATAATTTGATTCTTTTAATATATATAATTATTCTCCTTGTCTATTTATCTCTAGGATGTATTGCGTAAGTTCCTTACAATATAATAGAAATTTTTCAAATTTTTTGAGAAACTCATAAATTATTAAAAAAACTCTTAAAATATATATGAATCCAGAATAAGAATAGAATGAGAAAAGAGAGAATAGAAAATGATTGAAATTCAAAAACTAGTAAGAAACTTTTAAAAGGTATATGAACAAAAATAAGAATAGAATGAGAAAGAAGAGAAGAGAAAATAAGTGAAGTATTAGTTTTAGAGGAGTGGAGAGTAATTTATTTATAAGTGTAGCTCAGCCGTTCATAACTTTCTTCAAAATAAAATCTCTAACAGAGATTGGTAAATGGTACATGATAGCCATGACAGTAGAGTAATGCCCATAGGTAAACCATGCTGGCGGTTTTTCCTTCAGAATAGCAGCTACAGTGTTTTTAGCAAACTCATCTGTTGGTGTTGATTTTAATTTCTGAGAAAAGTAAGCTCTGTCTCGGATTGCTGCTTCAAAAGGCTTGAACAATTTCCATTCAGGCATGCGGTTGTAGCTGGCTATAGCAGAATCTCCTATATTTGATTTGATAGCTCCGGGTACAACATTGACAACATCAATTCCGAAATGTCCAAGTTCCAATCTGTATCCAACATGCCCATGTTGAAAATGAGAACAATTACACATTTTATGAAATGTAAATGACACTCAAACCACCATCCCAAATGGTGTATTTGTTGCATGCACTAAATTTTGACTTCATATTGCATATATAGTGTTTAACAAACATCACTATTACATTCTAGTTTTCATCAAGTCACCACATTGATTTGCACCACCCAAAGCCTGTAGATAACGAACCACAATTTCTATAGAAACAAGTAGGATTTCTGTTTCCAAATACAATTGGCTCTGATTGATTTGATGCAGAGATCAAGGTACAAACAAGTATACGGTTACACAAGTTTGAAAAAAGAACAACACCTTAATGTATCTGTCAAAGCATGAAGAGCAGCTTTAGAAGCTGTATAAGTGCCTGACCAAGGTCCAGAAGCCAAGGCAGCGACACTACCAATATTTACAATCTTTCCCTTTCTCCTAGTTGCCATATGAGGGACAACCGCCTGAACCATTCTCAAGGAACCTGCGTATGCCCAATGAAACACACCAGCACTTATACATGGATTTCATGTTCTTGAATACCAACTAAAACTAAATTTGCAATTGGATATTGGAAATGTGCATTTGGAAATTCCGATGCATACTCTCAAATTCCAAGACACAAAATGGAAAAAAAAGTATAATTTTTTACTTTAGGGGTAAAAATACTTCTAAATTCCTTGAACAGGGTATCCACGCATTCACTAATTGTGTTTGTGCAAAAACTTTGAGGCACCAATTGACAAATTGAATGAAACTGTATCTGGAATAGAAACACACAAAAGTTCATGATTGGGAGAACTCAAACTACTTCTACTTTTAAAACAAGCGTCTAATTTCTTTGTCCTATATATTGAAATTCGGAACCGTACGTTGCAATTGGCAGAGGAAAACAAATTGATGATTCTCTGTTCTCTATCTATAGTCAATTATCGAACAATTAGTTCTCATAGTATCAAATATCCAATTAAACTGAAGTCCCAAATAAAGAGAAATGATTAAGATAAAGAGGGTATCGAAACATTACTCACCGAAAACATTGGTATCGAAAGTATTTTGGACGGAAGAGAGAGGAATCTCGGCAAGCGGACCCACGCACTGAACACCCGCGTTGTTTACGAGCACGTCGATGCAACCGTACTTTCCGACAACAGCGTCAACCACTCTGCGCACGCTCTCATCGGACTGAACATCCAACTCTTCCAACACAAACCTGCTGTCGTGTTCCAGCTCCGTCATCCTCGACCGCGACCTGCTCGTCGCCACCACCCTGCACTTCTTCTCCGCGAACGCGCACGCAAGCGCGTGGCCTATCCCTCCCGTGGAACATCCTGTGATGAGAACCACTGGTTTGGTAGGATCCTGGTCGTGGCTGTGCGTCTCCATCTCTTACTATTCCAACACCACCGCACCACCCTCACTAAAGGAGAGAGAGAGAGAATATTATAACAGTTTTTCCATCTTCCTAGTACACTGATTAATGAGAAGCATTACCAACCAAATTTTCTGTCATTTATGATTCATATTGCAATAGAAATTGTAATTCACCGTTATTAAATCAAAGGAAGTAACCCTCACTTTAGTTTCTATGATTAGAGGATTATGCAATATAATGTTTAATTTTTATCATTATTATTATTTTAGTTTCAAAACCTATTATACTTTGGTCTCAAAATAAATAATAACTTCTAAACTATTTAATAATTCTTAAAATTTGGCTCACTAATAAAATTATGTCAAATAATATAGATCACATCAATTTCTTGATTACATTATGTTGAGTATTTTGATATGATTTACTTACATTACTAACTCAAATATAAGTAAAAATACTCAAGCTATATTGATAACTATTATAATTAAATTTATTTAATAATTTATTTTATAAATAAATATAGAAATATATTTTTAAAATTATCCATCATCATTCTTATTTAAAAAACAAAATAATTTATTTATATTTAAGTCATATTTTTATTCATGTTTTTTAACATAAAGAAATTACATCTCACCTTTTACTAATTAACGAATAACAATAAATTTAATTCTTAAAATTATGACATGTTAATTTATTTCTTTAATATTTGATACTATTAAAAAAAATGACATGTTAATTTATTAAGAAGCCGAGAAATAAACAAATATGAAATGGCCATGACCCATCAACAAATTTGTTTCAATTCTTCAAACCTCGAAGAGACAAGAAACAATTTTAAAAATGAATGAAACGAGGGTCATAGCAATTTCTGTGTCACATGTCAACCTTATCAACACATATTAATTTAAATATATGATTTTATAATTAAACATTTTAAATAATAAATTCCATTAAACTCTTCTATTTCTTTTGGAATGGTGAACACTCGCATGCACTTTATTTTTTGTTTTTAATAGAACAGTGATGTTGTATCAGAAAAAAATGAAAAATTGCACAATGGTAGGCTTCTTATAATAGTGAAAAACATAGATTTTTTATACAATTTTGCAAACAACTTTTATGTAAAAACTAGTCTAGTTTGCAGAGGAAAATATAACCTACACAAGTTGAAAAATGGTGTATATTGGTCCTACCATGAATAACTTGAACTAATTTTGAAAATAACAATTTCAATTTATTGTCCTTCTCTGAAGCAGAAAATTTCATTGGAGCTCCCACTACATCCAAACATGTTTGTCATGAAATGCCAGAAAGAGTAATAAACCCCGAGACAATGATATATGCCTACCTACCACTCTTTTTATACTCCCACAATTCATAACCCTATATTTATTTCCATTTATTTATTATTAATACAGAAATGAGAGCACTAATTTGTAAGAATTAATTATGTTAATTATGTTTGATTATGTTATTTTGAGATGATTTGTATAGAAATAGTAATAGGTTTACATGCGGAAAACCATCATCTCCTTTGTAAAATAAAAAAAATAAAAAGTCAATAATAACATCCATAAAAACATTTTTATCCCGTATAATCTGTTAATAGAGAAAGAAGAATGGTTGAAAAATAGTTTTGATGATGTGTTAATAAGATAACTGTGTGTGAGTAGTTTTTGTTAAAATTAAATTATTTATTTTTTGTTTAAAATAAAAAAGTGAAAAATTAAAACTAATCAATTATATTAAAATTGAATTAATTAAATATATTTTAATCGATTAGATAAGTATTTAATGGATTATATGACTTAAATTCATATTTTTATAATATGCGTTAATAATCGATTATATTGTCATTTAATTGATTATGCGACTAAATTTTTGTATTGACATCACGCCCTAAACGATTATATTGATATCTACTAAATTATATGACTTATTTTTAGTTTGTCACTGCACACAAATAATTGATTAGATGTTCTGCTAATCAATTATTTAAATAAGTTGTAATAAATTTTAACTTTACAAAAGGATGTAAACCTTTTTCAATTAAACACATCTTTCAAAAAGATAAAAACATTAAAAAGAACATCTTTATGGACATTAATTTTTTTTATTTTGTAAAATATTTTGAAGAAATTGTTTGCCTATTGGATACAGTATTCCAAAAGTCTTAGGTGTAAATGTTATCTTTTTTTTATGAATCTTTATTGTATATTGATGCATGTGAGGTGAACAACATCAAATTAACTTAAAATTATGTGAAAACATTTTTAAGTATTGTGATTTGTTTTTAGATTTGATTAGAAGTGTGTTGTAGTCAAGATCTGCATGTTATGTTCTAATCTGGTTACTTAATAAGTTTCAATGAAAAAAATCAAAATAAAATTGCTTGATTAATTGGACGTAGATTTAAAAGAATTGAACTAATATAGACTCTTATATTTTCTTCTTTCTTTTCTTTGTCTTAGTATTCTTATTACCTTAACACATTTTAATTCTTTTTTAATTTGATTATCAAGAAAATATTTAAATAATTGATTAGATTAAAAAAGATTTAAAAATTCAATTCACCTCCATCTTAATTATATTTAGACATTCATATTTTTCTAACATAATATTATATATCCTTACATAATTGATTATGTTGATCCATATAACTGATTATTTAATACAACGTAATTAATTATATATAGTCATATAATATGATTTTTATATTAAATAAATTAAACTTTCTAGTTAAAATTAGTTTATCCTTTAAACAACTATAAAAAATATCATATATAAAATTTTATTTCTTATAAAAATTAAATTTATTATATACAATTTAACAATTATAAATAAAATTTACATAAATATTTAATCAATTTTATTGTTTCAAGAAAATATTTTTTATCAAGATTTAATAAAAATTATTAAAAAAATAATATATTTAATAATTCATATCTTATTTTATCAATGATTCACTGATAAATTTTTTTTAATTAAACTATAATTTTAACTTATTATAAAAAAATAATTAACAAATATAATATAGTTTTTTCTTAATCATTATCGAATAAGAATGTGTTAATTAATAATTTTTTAAAATAATTTAATTTATTGAAAACATATAGTTTATATAATTTTAAATAAATACTAAATTTGAATTTTTTTAATAGAATATTTTATTTTAAAAATAATTTTTAAGAATATATTAAGTAAATAAATAATATATAAAAATAATTCATAAAAAAGTTATTTATTTATTTATTTTAAAAGATAATAATAGAAGAATAATTATCTTATTTATTATATTAATTTTTTTTATAATTTATATATAAATTAACTTGTTTTATTTATTTTATTTAATAATTATTTTATATTAGATTATATTTATCTCAATATTAATTTACTTTTTTTGGTTGGATGAGTATAATGTTATTAATTATTATTATATTTTTTATTGAACTTTTATCTTAGATGATTTAAATATTTTTTCGAAGATTTTACATCTAAAATTATTTTTATACTTTATATAAAATATAATATTTTATATAAAGTATTTTTATTATATATTATAATATAAATTAATTACTTTATATTAAATAATATTATATTTTAATTTATATTTATTTTATCTCTTATTAATAGGTATTCTAATTATTATATATTTTATATTATTATTTTAATTTTTTATTTAATTTTATTAATTTTATTTTTTACAATCTTTTCACTCATTTTTCTTTAATTTTTTATTTTCTTTACCTTGATTCGGACAATCTTATTTTTCATCATTTTTTTTTCACTTTGTCAAATCCACTTCCCGTGAAAAAGGATATAACACTAGAGGAACAATAGGATTCTATGACGAGTTTTTATCACGGTCGTAGTCCATCCATCATAGTATGTAGCGCGGTGTCAATTTTGTAATAAAATCATAAATTTTTTATGTCGGTTAATAGGTAACCGACATGATAAGTGGGAAAGTTCACTTTCTATGTCGGGTAATATTTTAACTGACATAGAAAGTGTATTTGATGACGGGTGTTAGGGCAACCGACATAGTATCTTCTGTTTTACCCTCGTCGCAACACTCCATTTCATCACTTCACCCATAGTAGAGCTCCTCGTTCTCTCTGTTTCTACTGCGAACGTCATCGCCTGTGTACGTTTCTTCCCACCCAGCTCTACACGTCACGCCACCTGCCAGCTCTGTACATTGTGTCGCCTGCTGCTGTTGTCGCCACTATTGTTGGTGTCCGTCACCTGTGTACATTTCTCCCCACCCAGCTCTGCACGTCACGCCACCTGCCAGCTCTGTAGGTCTTCAAGAGGTAAGTTTTCGTGCTTGCTTTAGCCATTGTAGGTTTACAGTTTTGAATCTGGTATGTAATAATGTTGTCAAGAGAGGGAAAGATCACGGGTGCCTTTAGCTAATTTAGAGACGTATTGTAAGTAGTTTAGTCATTTGAATGTGTTTCTGTAGGCATTCTTTCTTGATTTTGATTTTAAAAATTAGATTTGTATTATGATGTAGTTATTTCATTTTAAGTGAAAACTATCATCACTTATGCTCACCCTAATGTGAGACAATACGGTGAGCCTTGATTGGAGTCAGTCATGAAATGATTCATTGTAGGATAGAACTTCCTATTGAAAGATTAAAATATCCAATCACGTGACATCGCAATTTCAGCAAAAACATGTTGGATGTTATCATCCTCAAACTATACTTATATGTTGTGTTATGTCACAGAAGGTAACAATGGATCGGAGTTGGATCAATTATAGACGAACAACAAATGAATATGAGAGTGGAGTAGAACAATTCCTTGAATTTGCTAAGATGAATGTTCCGGATAATGATGGAAGATTCTATTGTCCGTGTGTTAACTGCATGAATGAGCGAAGATTGCCGACTGAAGTTATTCGGGAACATGTTCTTTGTGATGGTTTCCTAAAGAGTTACATAAAGTGGACATGGCATGGTGAATTATTAAACATGCCAAGTGTAGAAGACAAAGAA